CATTTCTAAATGGCACATCGGGTACTACTGGGCTTTTGAGGCAGGTGTTTCGTCCTCCTTAATATATATTTCTACAGTATTTTTTTTTGTTAAATGATAGGAAAATAAATAACCGGCTACCAACTTATTTGTAGGATGCATTCAAGAGTGAGTGTACTAAAAATATACTATACTAGGAAGCTTCTCCCCCTACTCGCTGGCGCTCGCCAACCCCCGGAACTGCTTTCGCAGTTCATTTCGGATTGCTTCGCAATCCAATTCTCGCTATGCTCNGCTGCCAACTTATTTGTAGGATGCATTCAAGAGTGAGTGAACTGAAAATATACTATATTAATTTTTATGCTATCTATATCTATCCATCGATTGTAAATCTTCTATTTATCTACATATATTTACAAATATTCAAAATTTCTACGAGTCAAGGTCGAGTATTGGGAGCCCTTAAATATTGAAATTAAAAAGTTTTTATTTTAATCTTATATTGAGTGGTGGCACTCAATCCTCTACGAATCCTGGTCGCCAGAATTCGAATAATTTAATCCATTGATATAATACAGATTTTATGCTAATTGTTTCTCTCTATCTAATATATATAATTCTCTTACATGACTCCTAAATTCTGGCTGTATTTCTTTTCCGCCGGTGGCAACGTTTGTTTTGTTCTGCTTACGTTGCTATTTTTCTTACACGGCGACAAAGAAAAGCCTCACTACAACTCCCCGAATGGCAACGCTAGAAAATCGACCCATGATTGCCGCTAAAAATGTCACATGCCAAATCTAGCTGAGGTGGCTCAACATATAGCGCTTTTAAAAACGGAAACTGAAATAACCAGAGAGCATCAGCTGCGGCAATCTCATACTATTAAGCTAGGCAGAAGTGAGTAGTCTTTGTCGATAGATCTCTATTTTAGTATTTTGTCGAAAGCGCTTTTTTTCACGAATTTATATATTACGAATTTATTTGACGATTTTTGATTTATATCACGAATTTATTTGTTTTACTAGAATTTATTTGTTTATGCAGGTTTTTCCATTGCAATTCACTTATTTCAATTTTTAATAGACTTAATTATAGCCAAAATTTTAACCTTTTTAAAGAGATATCAGTTTTAGAAATTTTATCTTAAGATTTTATACTATAGCACATTTCTAATAGGTTTAACGAATTACGTGTCATTTATTTGAATTCAAATTCGTTTTAATGATGACTTAGTATTTACTAAAAAGATGTAATTTTTTTTTAAAAAAAGTTTTGATATGGATTTGAATGATTGTTTTGAATTCTTAGAATTTTGTGCATTTACAATGTACCTAAGTTAGTAGCGAGCGAAGCGAGCTTGGTTTGCGATGCAAACGATATAAAATTGCGTAGCAATTTTCGGGGGTTGGCGAGCGTTAGCGATCAGGTTTTATATAAAACCTGCTCGCTAACGCCCACTAGTTTTATATAAAACACTAACTCATCTTGACTTTTGCGAGATAATAGTTTTACCCTATATAGTCAAATATAGACAATTTTGTCTCTCTGAAAAAGCCAAGTATCCTTTCAAACTCAGCCTTTTCATATCTTTTAGAGGTCATTTCCAACAACTATACCTTACACAATTTTGAAGGAGGTTTTTCTTTCGCTCAGCTGATGTTCTGAGCTGCGATCCCGTTTAAGCTCTGCAAACCTCTGGTCCCCTTCCCCCTCCAGAACAAATATCTTTAGAACACTTTTCCACCCATTTATAAATTGGAACAGCACTTAATAACTGAATTGAATTTTATCTTTTGTACTTTCTCTTATTTCAATTCGAAATTTCTTGTTTAAATTTCGATAAATAACTATCGAAATATAATGAAATTTTGACAGGTAATATTGCGAGTACGAATGAGTTCGGTCCGTTTTTTTTTGTGGTCAAAAATGCTTTTATTTCAGAACAAAAGGAATGAACAGATTAATCAAAGTACTGTCCATCGCTGGCTACTCCTTTTTCCCACCTCTCAGGCTATTTTCGAATTCCATACCCGAAAACTTTTTTCGTTTTTTGAGGCCATCCAAGTTAGGAGTCAATTTTCGATTTCTGCGAAAGAAGTAAACCGACGACCAAATCGTGCTGCATCCGTCGGAACAACTAGTAATCAGAAGGTAGCAATGTCCGGCGGGTGCGGTAAAATATACCACTTGAGCGTTTCCAAATAATTTTGTAGCCTATGCTGATTACCGTAATGGAATCGCCAGGTTGTAGTAGCTCATAGTATACAACATCATTCACCATTCTTGAAATTTCGAAACATGATTTACCAGTTGGAGCATTGTCATCATAAACTTCTACAAGCATTCGATGCGCTTCAGCTGCACTTTTCTTTCTATTAAAGCAGAAACATAAAACCTCCCGCAAATGCTGCTTAGTTACCACAAAATTTGACATATTCAACTAATTAAAGAACACGGTTTTTGTATGAAACTCAAAGCGATATAAACTGAATATTATTGGCACGTGTCTAACCTCTCTGAAACCACCGAAACCGACTGTCACTGTGAAACATTCATAACAGCCACAGCCATCTTTTGAAAACGGATCGAACAAATTTGTTCTCCCAATATTTGGATCGTGCCAGATGTCCTGCTCTCATCTCCACTACTGTGTGTGGACGCTACTGGGAGGCTAGGGCCGGTATGGGCTAAGCATGTCACTATGCATTCTATTTTATTTATCTCTTTTTGCCTTGTTTTTATTGTTATTTTATCCATTTTGTTCTTTTAAATTGGCCTGCCATTGGAAATAAAAAATATTTGGACCGTACAATACTCGCAGTGATTCCGCTGAAGTGATATAACACGTCAAATACTCAAAATTCGTAGAGTGAACGTGAAAAACAAGTTGTGATATGTTTTCTTGGAATTCTCTGAAGTAGTAAAAAATACTCGCCAGCAGGTTTACATGAGCAATATTATTTCTAAACTTTAAATAAACTGGTGTTTGAAATTAAGAGAATTTGCAAACTTGGTCGATTATCTCTCAAACTACTGGACTGATTTTAATAAAATTTGATATGTACACACACTTGATACAATACAAAACAAAAAACCATTCATCAATTGTAATACACACGCGTAAGACTCTTTGGAGTCGGAAGGTATGAAACAGCGGTTGCAGAATAAACAAAAAACAATGGGTTCATTGTGGGTATGGTCCTCTCTTACAATACAGGCCTCGTATCGTGATTTCATACTTGAAATAAGGCAGATTATCATTTCCTGTGGTAATTGGCCTGAATTGTCTTGTGGCAATTTCATACCTTCCGACTCCAACGAGTGTTGCGCGTGTGTATTACAAGTGTTGAATGGTTATTTGTTTTGTATTGTATCAATGTATGTACATATCAAATTTCATTAAAATCTGTCCAGTAATTACATAAAGGCTAAATCGGTCCACCTGTGCATATATTTTTTATTTTCTTCCTTTTTGATTAATATCCGAACGAGAGAGAGAGAGAAAATAAGAATCATTCTGAGCATCAAATTATCGTTGGTTTTCCTTGATGCCGATATTAGTTCAGTTCAAATTAAAACTGTTCCAGTAAATCTCTTTTTACTGTTTTGATATTCTTCGTTTTGTTCATCAATAGAAAGAAAACTCATGAACGCACTCAGTGATAAATGAATAAAGCGGTTAAGAATCCATATAGTTTTTGGAAGAAAAAGGCGCAGAAATTACCCCAGATTGCGAAATAAGGTTTATTTTCATTCAGTAAAAATCTTTTAATGTAAACCTAAAAAGGTCTGTCATGCGGATTGCGTGTCAACCTTCTAATCTTAAAACGAGATCTGTGACCATCTGCTGTATTCTGCGCGCATTACCCTAATCCAAAACCTTGGAAAACAACCTTCTATATAAAAACCTTAAATCGAGGTTGACTTAGGGTTTTCAAGCGTGAAGAAAAAACCTTTAATAAAGCTAGTCTCAAGGTGAAAATAATCTTAAATATAGGTAATCAAAAGGTTTTTTACTATCGCAATGTCTTTGTATGCTCAGCTAAAATCCACCTTGTCTTGAAATTTTAATGGACAATGCCATTTGATCCTATCGTTAGTGTGACGTCAGCTAATACGTCATGATGGACCTTAAGGTCTGGTTTCTTAGGACAGGACGCCGTCAGCTGAAAATCAGCGCTAACCTCTGATTGGTCCATTTGTGAGTTTGATAGTATACGTCATCGAACGCTCATCTTGAATGACAACTGCCGTCCAACTCAACTGCAGTTGGATTACAACGTGACGTTAACCACAGAAGCAATGGCGGACCACATCCAACAGCACATTGAAATCAGCCAAGATTTTGACATTAAACATATAGCTTTTTCATTAAACATAGCACTCTTCATTTAGCTCAGCTACAATGTGTTTTTTCTTGAACAAAGTCATTATTTGTTCTCTAAAACACTGGTCGACAGTAACAAAATCAATACAAATTCAAAATAAATATTTGTTTACGTTATTAACGCATGCGCAATGAGAGATAATGTCTGCGATGGGCCGACTGCTCACGCTGAGCTGACAAAAAAGTATTTTTTTGGCGTCAGCTCTACGTCATCTTTCCGCTGACGCCCAGATAAGGCGCTAGTTCTAAGAAACCAAGCCTTGAGCTAACAAACCAGTATTTTGTTGGCGCCAGCGGGACGTTGACGTCCCGCTGGCGCCAACAGAATAAGAAACCAGACCTTAAGTGGCACAATACTTTTAAAAAAAAACTGTAAAAAATAATTTTGAATCCTTTTAGGATGAAAGGTTTAAAACTGCAATATTTTTGCTTTATTGAAAAAAGGTTTTTAGTGCAAACATTTTCGTGGCAGTAAAAAGAAAATTCCGACGCAAGGTTGTCGTAGGGTTACATGTTTTCTGGTTAGTGTTCTAAGGACCCGTGGTTATTTAATTCTAGCGGAATCAGTATTTGCTTTTAGTGTGGTACATTTTGTATTAAAGTGTTAATGTTTGCAAATGTTGTTTTTCAGGGGTGGAGATCACTCGGCTATCGATGCCTCGGTGGGTACAAAACGGTACAGAGGACTCTGTAGTGCTGGACTGTGAATACAATTATTCAGACGAAGATCAGAGATTGGTGGTGAAGTGGTTTTTGAACGACGACCCCCAACCCATCTATCAGTGGATTCCGGAACTGAATCAGAGGTATGCCTCTGAGAAAGTGAAAGGTAAACTGAATATGGACTACACTGTATCGCCGTCCAGTCAACACACCCGGTATAGGGCACTCAACCTCATGAAGCCCACCACAGAGTTGAGTGGCAGGTACTCCTGTCACGTAGTCTCACTGCTCAGCCAGGATGCCGAGGACCAGGTCATGGTTGTCTATGGTGAGTAGCCTTTTTTCTATACTCTCTCAGTTGATGTTTAAAGCGATTTATTTTTTTTAGCTCTCACGGTTACAGTTACAGTGACAAAATTTCAAAGTTTTCAAATGACAATACCCAATTTTTCTTTATCAAAAAGTAATCGTTACAGTAAATAGCCAAAAATGGATATGGAACGGTATTATTAGAGCAAGAAATTAAGATTTTGCCTGTCATCCTGTCTACCAACCAGAGGAGAGTGTGATTAAACAGAGGGGAGACAATAAACCTGTTGGAAATGTCCAAAAATTGCTTTCCTTGTAACTTTTTCTCTGTTTTTAGACATAACTTCTCGTAAGTGGTCACGAAAAATGGCAAAGTCCATTTTAGTTTTTTTTTTTTTGCATATTTGACCACTTTTCTAATCAAGAATGCAACCCATGTGCATTTTATTGTTAACATTTTTTTAATAAATATGGATATATTATGAATATTTTATAATATTTTGAAAAAATAGTTTATTACGATGCCTGTTTCTTAAAATTGGAATGAATTTTGCAATGTTAAACATATTTTGCGAAATGCTTCATATAAATGCCTTTATCGGCAGTTTTCTTAATAATATAAAGCGTAGTTTTCTTAATAAAAAAAAGTGGGCACATGTTTTAAAAAGTGGTCACTGTTAAAAATTCTATAAAGGGCCACTGACCAGCAGTAAAATTTCCTAATTTTGTTTCTGTAGTGTGTAACCAAATAGGCAAATATATATATGTGTGTGTGTCCATTCAGAAAAAAGTACGCTTTTGCTTATGATTTCAGAACTTAATATTTAGCGCTAATTAATTTGTATGTATGAGTTCTGCCTAAGAAACCATTAAGATTGGCTTTTAGTGTGTGTCATTCAAGCAAAAGTTATTCAAATTTTCGTCCACACAGTACCTTAGGGAAAATGATTGTTAGCAAAGGAATATGCTCTTATTTGTTGCAATATTTTTGTATTGTAATATTAGTATGATGTTTCCATTATTGTTCTATGGCTCACAATAATCATGCAATTAATGATTTGGTTTTCATAAACAGTAAGCTTTTTTGCCAATTAAAATTTCATTGTTTTATTGAAGTGTTTTAACTACTTCGTTCTCTTGAAATGATCATAGTTTTCAAATGACAATCAAGATGGAAATGTGTCCACCATTCATGTTTCCTGATATGATCATGCTTTCTTTTCTTCCTTCATTAACTTTGATGTTCCAATGAGTCAGCTCTCTCTTGGCGACCCAATATTTAAGAACGGCGAGTGAGTAAAATATTCAGGGTATCTGCACACCTGGAAAGTCATGAAATTTCGGTAATGAACAAAATTTGTCATGAAGTATCATGATTTTAACTATTTTTTTAAAAACAATCATGGAATTCATGGATTTAAGTCGCAGAAAAATCTAGTTTTTAAAATGAAATTACCCCCCCCCCCCGCCAATTTCATGGTGTTCCGAAATTCTGAATTTGTAAGATAATCCCCAATCATAGTCATTTGCTTTAAATATAAAGCGTTTTTATCATGTTCTTTACAAATTATGCTTTTTTTCTTCTAAAAATGAAAGAAAAAACATAATTTCTTGAGCGAATTATCTTTTCAACTTCTGTGATTTAAAAATTTTGTTTCTATTTTTTTTGTCAATTTAAATAGCCAGTCATTGGTGAATTTTTTTTAAATTCCGAAATGAGAACAGAAAAATCGGGAATACTTCTTTTCTTTCCGATGAACAAGAAAAGTATCTTTAGAATATAATTCTGCAGAAAAAAAGAAGGAAAAAAAAACTGTCTGCTTTTGCATTTTTTTCGGCTATTTTATTGATTCAACTCTTTCTTTACTCTGTTTTTTAAATTTAAAAGCTATAAATCTGAAGATGCAGAGTATAACAGTTTTGGTTATACCTATCATTTCAATGAATGTTATTATAATGCTTTTTTAAATTTATTGTTGTATTTTTGTCGGGGAAAATAGTAATTTCCATAAGTCATGAAAAATTCTCGGAATTAGTCATGAAAAGTCATGAATTTTAAAATCTAAAATGTAACCGATACCCTGAATATTGCGTTTTACAACTACAATTTTTTTGCCGGAGTTTGGAGTGGACATACACTGTCAAAAATTCTGGATCAAACTACAGTGGAAGGCATCGAATTTTATACGCATCATCCGTAAAATTCATTTTTATCGAAAAATATTATCCAGTATTTTTTACGGTAATTTAATCAGAATGATTCGATGACTTTTTGGTAGTTATAACTGTAAAAATTACGGTATATCAGATTTTTCTTTCCGTAGCATGTTCCCGTAAGAATGGATTCTATGTTAAAAAGTACTTGCAGATACTTTTTTCGATAATTTGATCCGGGATTTTTTTTCTTCTTCTGTGTTTATAAAAAATTTAATAAAAAGTAGCAGATTAATGACTATGTGCAAGGGTTTACATCGCAGAAAGTCTATGTCATCAAATTATGGGTTAACATTTTTAGCCCTTTACGCCAGAAAAAAAAAATTTTTTTTTTGAATAAATGATGTAGAGAAAATGTAGTTTAACGCAAATACTTCTTTAATGATCATATGTTGGCAGAATGTTCGCTTCACTAATCAGTTGTTGGGGAAATTCCCCAAATTCACACTAGATTTTTCACAATTTCTTTTGTGGTTTTGACCATCATCTTTATCGTTTATACTACAACTGGTAATATAAGAAAAATTGATGGTATTTTTCGTGAAAATAGTTTTGACCATTATCATGGTTTTGACCATCATCTTTATTGTTTACTACAACTGCTATATAAAAAAAATTTGGGAAATTTCCCAAATCCACACCAGATTTTTCCCAATTTCTTTCTTTTGGTTTTGACCATCATCTTTATTGTTTATACTACAACTGGTAACATAAAAATGGTTAGTTTTTTTTTTTTTTTGAAGTTATACTTCTTATGCGACTTCCAACAAGGTTGCATTAAACGTAATAAAGGCTGCATTTTTATTGGCCGGGAAATCACGTGGTAGGATCCAGTTTTCCCTCATTCATTTCCATATTGTTTTGGTTCTCACTAGCATAAAAATAATAAAAGTATTGTTTTTGAAGTTATACTTCTTATGCGACTTCCAACAAGGTTGCGTTAAACGTTTAACGCTGCATTTTTATTGGCCGGGAAATCACGTGGTAGGATCCAGTTTTCCCTCATTCATTTCCATATTGTTTTGGTTCTCACTAGCATAAAAATATTAAAAGTAATGTTTTTCTATAAATATTTTTTTAGTTTGTTTTGATATACATATAATTTAATAGGGTAGTATTTTTTATTTTCAAATTTAGTGGATAACAATTGTAAAAAATGAGTGAAAACAATCCCACGGACAATGCGACGGATTTAAGGTTATGTCAAGGTACGTCTCTTGT